GCTTCATGCATATATACAGAGTCAATGTAATTCCCATCAAAATTCCAATGATGTTCTTGACAGAAATAGAAAAAGCAGTTGTAAAATTCATTTGGAAAAATAAGAGACCCAGAACAGCCAAACCATTCCTTAGCAAGAAAAGTGAAGAAGGAGGCATCATAATACTAGACCTCAAAATATACTACAGAACTATAGTAACAAAAACAGCATGCTATTGGCACTAAGACCCCTGGAATAGAAGACATAGAGACAAACCCATATAAATATGGTTATTGCATACTAGGAAAAGGTGCCAAAAACATATGTTAGAGAAAAGATAGACTTTTCAACAAATGGTGCTGGGAAAATGGAAATCCATATGCATAGAATGAAATTAACAATGATCTCTCATTCTGCACAATACTCAACTCAAAATGTATCAAAAATCTAGAAATTAGACCAGAAACCCTGCACACACTAGAAGAAACTGTAGGCCCAACACTCCAACATATCAGCTCAGCTACTGACTTCTTGAAACAAGACTCCTTGTTAAAGCACAATAATTAAAATCAATAATCAATAAATGGGATGGCATCAAACAAAAAGCTTCTTAACAACAATGAAAACAATCAAGAATGTAAAGAGAGAGCCTATGGAATGGGAGAGAATCTTTGCAACCTGCACCTTAGATAAGCTGTTAATTTCCAGGATATACAAAGAACTCAAAAAACTTAACACCAAAAACACAAATAACCCAATCAATAAATGGGCAAAAGAACTAAATAGACACTTCTCAAAAGAACAAATATTAACAGTCAACAAATATATAAAAAAAGATTCTATATCTTTAGCAATTAGAGAAATACAAATTAAAACTACACTGAGATTTCATCTCCAGTTAGAATGGCAATTTTCAAGAATACAAGTAACAATAAATGTTGGTGAGGCTGTGGGGAAAAGAGTCTACTCATACATTGTTAATGGGACTGTAAACTGGTAAAACCACTCTAGAAAACAGTATGGAGTTTCCTCAAAAAACTAGGAATGGAACCACCACTGACCTGGTTATCCCACTCCTTGGTATATATCCAAAGGAATTAAAATCAATATACTACAGAGACTCAGTTTATAGAGTACAATTCACAATAGCTAAGCCAAGGAGCCAAACTAGGTGTCTTTCAACAGATGAATGGATACACAAAATGTGGCATATATACACAGTGGAGTATTATTCAGCCATAAAGAAGAATGACTTCATGACATTTACCTGTAAACAGATGGATCCAGAGACTATCATGCTAAGTGAAATAGACAAGTTGCATAAAAAACAAATGTCAGATGTATTCTGATATGTGGAATCTAACCTACAATAAGGAGTGAATGAGGAATAGAAGTTCAGTGGATTAGGCAAAGGGTAATGAAGGAAAGGAAGGAGGTATAAGAAAAGGAAAGACAGTGGAATGAATCTGACATAACTTTCCTACGTACATATATGAATACACCACAGTGAATCTCACCATCATGAACAAGAAACTAATTTAAAAAATAATAACTATGGATAAATGGCAGAAAAATCAAGAGGGAACGGAGCAAGGGTAGGGAAAAGGAAGGGGAAGAAGAAATACTGGAGTCAGAATTAGAATAATGTATATTCCAATGCTCATATAATTATGTCAAAATGTATTCTACTGTCACATATAACTAAGGACCAATTTTAAAAAAAAGAATAGATGGACAGTGTCTATGCCTATCCTTCTTTCCATTTCTTATGGAATGTACTAAACAAGAGCAAGGGCTGAGTGCTGTTAACCCCTTCTTCTTTCTGTGTTGTACACCAAAGCTGCCAGTTGCGATGGCCTAAGACTAAAGCTGGGCCAAATAATTCTCAACTTCTCTTCTTCCCAGTATAAAATAGGATGGGAGAGGAAGTTCTATCAGTTGAAATTTTGTCTGCACAGACCAGATAATACACTCCCAGAGTGGGGCAGCTGTAGAGTTTTATGGGTGGAATTCCAGCAAGTGGGACTTAGCTCTAATCAGCCCTCAGGGGCTCTGCTGGTTTCTGCTCTGGAGAGATTAGATCAACATACTACTAGTGCCTGGAAGTTGCCTATCTCTGTTGGGAGTCTGGTTCTCAGGAGCCTCCCAAGGATTCTACTTGCTCTGGTTTAGATATGAGGTGTTCCCAAAAGCTCATGTGTGAAACAATGCAAGAAAGTTTAGGTGAATGATTGAGTTATAAGAACATCAACCCAATCCATGAATTAATCCCCTCGTAGGGATTAACTGGATGGTAACTGTAGTCAGGTAGAGTAGTTGGCTGGAGGAGGTAGGTCATATAGGACATGCCTTTGGGATATATATTTTATATGTGGTGAGTGCAGACTCTCTCTGCTTCCTGAAGTGAGGTCTTGAGCCATTTCCCTCCACCACACTCTTCTGCCATGATGATCTGCCTCACCTTGAGCTCCAAAGAATGCAGCCAGCTGTCTGTGAACTGAGACCTCTGGAACTGTGAGCCTCTAAAACTGTTCTTTTAGTTAGGAAAAAATAAAAGCTGACTAAAACAATACTTGTGGGGGCAGAGGAGTCAATCCTTCACCCACTCTGTTGCCCATGAACATGGCCTTTCCAGGTTTCCCAGGCTTAGTCCCTGCATGTAGTCCCACCCACATGTTCAGATTCCAGACCTACTTCAGCAGATCACAGGAACCACCAGACTCAAAGGTGAGCTCCCATTCACTTTTCCCATTTGAATCCCCCTGGGTAAAATATTTTCTGTGCCTGCTTCACTCCCATTTTGCTAGGTACACCCCAGTCTATATGGAATGCATTTGCCAGGACAGTGTAGCCCTGTTTGCTCTGATCTTCCAGCTCCCACAGCACGTGCAATGTGTCTACCTCAAGGTGGCTCCACCTCAGCTCTCAGCAGCCAAAGTCATGAGTGGAGAGACACTGGGCACTTTTCAAGCACCAGTGCACAGTGCAGCTTCTGGATCAGCTAAGGGAAGGTTCCTTTTCTGATCTCAAGTTTTTCTGTACTAAATCTGTCTGTTGTGTTTCTCTCTGTATTCCTCCTTCCTCTGTGTTAAACTACCCATACCACTGCTGACACAACCAGCTTGGCTCCAATGTAGTCTTTCTTCTTTGTTTAATTTACCCCAAATTTCTGACTCTCTAAGATACTCTGACTGTCCAATATGGAGTTTTAGTGAAATCCCTCTTTCACCCACCTAACAGAGAAGCAGTATTCCTGCTGCTTGAATCCCGAGCCATACAGCAACTAAGAAGGCAGGCTCCCTCTAGCCCACCATCTTGAATCCCTCAGGAACTATGGTTTATTAAAGAATTTTTCAAACTTTTAGATATAAAAATTTATACTTTAATATCTTTTATATATTTCATAGGGATAATTTCAAACTTTAAACTTCAGCTTTATTAAAAACATGCTGTATTATTCTTCTGGTGGAAATTTCATTACAGACCAGACTCTAGTCCAAGCTCTAGTCTGGGAACCACTGCTACAGATCAAAGGAATAAAACCTCAAGAAAAGGAAATAACTATGATTCTGGTCATTAAGGAATATAACTTTTAATGGCACAATGTAAGGAAAGTGAGTTAGCATGGTAGAGAAAGCATCAATTAAGAGGCAACAGGAAGAGAGAACACAATGTTGGATCAGAGTCTAGCCAATATTACCTTTAGACAAAGTTTACTTGTTGGAGCTAGGCTTAAGATGTCTATTACCTGCCTTCATGATGCCACTGGTTTAGTGAAGTAATAAAATATACTAATATTCTGTAACTAGTACTAGTCTCTGTCTTCCCTATATTTATCGTGGAGCCCAAAGGACCACAGGATAGTCAAAATGTTGAGGCAGCAGTTTTCATCCTAGAATCAATAACTAATGTTTATAGTAATGCTCTAGATCATCATTCAACAATTAAAAAAGAACAAATTGATAAATCAACAACCTGAATGGACCTCAAAAACATTACATTGAATGAAAGAGGTCATATAAAAAAGATATATGCATGCTGTATGACTTCATTTACATGAAATTCTTAGAAAAGGCACAAGTAATCTAAAATGGCAAAAAGTACATCAATGTTTGCCTGGGGCTGGGGACAGAGGGAAGAGACTGATATCAAAAGAGCAGAAGAAGCCAGGCGTAGTGGCACACACCTGAAATCTCAGCAGTTCAGGAGGCTGAGACAGGAGGATCATGAGTTCAAAGTCAGCCTCAGCAATCATGTGGTGCTTAGCAGCTCAGTGAGACCCTGTCTCTAAATAAAATACAAAATAGGGCCAGGGATGTGTCTCAGTGGTCAAGTGCCCCTGAGTTCAATACCCAGTACCAAAAAAAAAAAAAAAAAAAGAGGAGGAGCAGAAGAGAACATTTTAAATGATAGAAATGTTTTATGCATTGACTATAGTGGTGGTTAAACAGATGCATACATTTGTTAAAATTCATCAGATTATACACTTAAAATGGATAAGCTATATTCAATAAAACTGATTTTAAAATATAAGTGTACATAGATGTATATATATGTTTTATACACACACCCCCCCACACACACACACACAAACACACACATATACACACATACATACTTATACACATGATTCTTTTTAGAGTCACACCTTTGGAAATACAAAGAAAGATACAACTACTTTTCCCAGAAAAAATAAGGTTGTATGCATAGTTTTCCATACAATTCAGGGGCACCAAAGATCAAAGCCCATGGATGCCAAATGAAGAACTTTAGTATACACCTATAAAACCCAGTACTCTAGAAATCTGAAGATGTGAAGATCTAAAGAAGCCTGAGTATGTGTTCACAATTCCTATAATGATGTCAGAAGAGCAGACTCATAAAAACAGTTTTGTAAAGAGTGCCTAGTAAGCAGGCACTAGCAATGTGGAAGAGAGTCATACTTTCTTAGTATAATCACTAACATTTCTTTCAAGCAAACGTACTAAGTATGTAGGCTTTCATTACCATTGGTAACTCACCCTCAGCTTGATGGTGTAGATTATAAAACTCTCGGGCAATGATATCTGCCAGTTTCTCACACCATTTTTTTGATGGACAAAAAAGTAATACTGAATGGTTATCACGAACGGTCTCATAACACAAACTAACAACATGGTCTTCATCACCCTAAAAAAGAAAGAGAAATAATGACTTCAGGGGTACTTTTAAAACATTTTCACACCAGGTATGTTGGTACACACCTGTAATCTCAGCAACTGAGGAGGCTGAGACAGGAGGATTACAAGTTGGAAGCCAGCGTCGGCAATTTAGCAAAACCTTATCTCACAATAAAAAATAAAAGGGGGCCAAGAATGTAGCTCAGCATTCCTGGGTCCAATCCTCAGTACCACAAAAAAATTTCCTCACACCAGTTTAAAATCATTCACTTTTCTTCACAGGAAAAATTTTATTATTCAAAGGCATAATAAAAAATCAGCTACAAAGTCCATAACAAAATAGAAAACAAGCCAGGCATAGTGGCACATGTCCATAAATGTAGCTACTCAGGAAGCTGAGGCAAGAAAATTAAGAGTTTGAGGCCAACCTGGGCCACATATAAATGAAGATACTAGGTTCTGAGAAATTTTGTGATTCAACTACTATCTCAGCCTTATCAAGTATCACTATTAAATGTCAGAGGTAGGTCTAACTCCCAAATGATGTGCTTTTCATTCTATATACTATAATTATACCTACCATTTAATGTAAGATTAATTTTCCACATTAGTGTTTAGTTTAAACTAAATCATAAGAAAATCTTTTCCTAGTTAAACAGAAAAATCCACAAAACTAAGTATATTCTTAAAAATGGGTATATCATATATCAGGAAACGATGGTCAAGGCACAACTACATTTCCTCCTTCACCATCACCATCAGTTCTTTAAAGTGAAACTGACTGGCTTAGTTTTAATTCTAGTGGATGTGGAACATGCATTCAACTATTTTGCAACCTCTCATTATATTTCAAAAATTGTTAACTTGCTAGAAAATGACATTAAACACAATGATACCAAGAGCTATGATATAAAAATAATGACTTACCTTCACTTGTAGCATGGGTTGAAATTCCCTCACAAGCTTCATTGAAGAGTCATATATGGAATTTCCAATTTTTACTGACTCCAAAAGTGGTACAGGGCGAAAGTCAGTATGATAGAGTTCAGCATTCAACCAGGAAGCCACAAGCTCCAAATTAGGAAGAGTAGCACTCATTCCAACAATCTGTACAGCATTAGACAGAGGACTGGCTAAATCTGCCTGGCTGTGAAAAATAAATGAAGCACACATTAAAACACGGTATATTGGGACTGGGGTTGTGGCTCAGAGGTAGAGCACTCGCCGACCATGTGTGAGGCACCAGCTTTGATCCTCAGCACCACATAAAAAAAAAATAAAGATACTGTGTCCACCTATAACTAAAAAATAAATATTAGAAAAAAACACAGTATATTAACAAGTAGTGGTGCTATGTGCTTGGGCATGTCCTTTGGCACACACATGCATATAATTTTTTAGGGAACAGGATCTAGGAATAAAATTACTATATCATTGATTACTGGGTCACAGATCTTCAATTTTAAGAGATAATGCCAAACTGTTTCCCAGAGAGTCTGAACCAAAGTAACACTCCCACAAAATATGTGTATTCTATTGTTCCACAGTCTTGTCATTACTTAGGATTATCAATCTTTTTAATGTTAGCCATTCTGGAGAGCAAGTCGTAAACATTAAAAAGTAATTTCTATTTTTCTGATTACTAATGAGACTAGCACCATTTCATGTATACAGACCACTGGGAAACTCTCTTTCAAATGTCTATTCAAGTTCTTCATTGATATATTGGGTTATTTATGTATTTCTTATTCATTTGTAGAACTTTTAAATTTTCTGGATAGTGACTTTCCTTTTTCATTTATTTTTGCATTTAATTTTATCATTTATTTCCTTTTACTTCTGTGGCATTATTTTATTATTCTTTTTCAAAGTTTCTTGAAATGGATAATTAAATAACATTTCCCGTCTGCCTTCTATAATAAGATAAACATTTCATACTATCAATTTCCCCTTAAAAATAACTTTCGCTGCATTTCACAATTTTGTTGAGATATTTTTCTAGTTCAAAACTAGTTTCTAATTTCTATTGTGATTAATTTTTTGACCCAAAATGAGCCTAAAACGTATTGCTTAATTTCCAAACATGTAGGCATTTTCAGCTTGTGCTTTACTTATCCTTATTCCTAACTCCATTCTTCTGTTGTCAGAGAATATATTTTAAGTCATTTCAAACCTTTGAAATATGTTAAGACTTTCTTTATGACCCAGCATATGATAAATCTCTTCATAAATGTTTCATGTGGAACTGAAAAGAACATGTACTCTGACATTTTTTGCTAATTATTATACATGTATCCATTAGGTCAAAATTGCTGATTTCATAGTAATATCATCATATCCATAAAGATTTGGGATACAGATGGTTATCTGCTTGTTCTATCACATACTGAGAAAGAAAAATGTGCTTAAAGCTCCACAAAATGGAAAGAGCCTATTAAGTGTCCAGCAAGACATATTGGTACAAAATTTCAAAACACAGGGAAAGAAAGGAGCTCCTAAAAACTCCCAGACAGAATTTTAAAAATTTATACAAAGAATGAATGATCAGCATGGCATTGGATTTCTCAATAAAATGGGAAAGTAAAGCCATGACAATTCTGAAGGAAAAACATTCCCAATCTTGATTTTTATGTCTGGACAATCTATGAAAATAATTGCAACACATTTTCAAACACACAAGTTCTCAAACAACTGATAACCATAATAGTGTGTTCACAGAAATAAAGGGTACTTCCGAGAAGACATCCCCACCAAAGTAAGGAAATAAATGAAGAGAAAGACATGTGATCCAGAAAGGGGGCTCTATCTGAAGCAAAAAGCAATAGAAATGAGTGATAATGGTGAAGGGAGATCCCAGATGACTGCAGCACAACACAAGTACAGACTAACCACCTTTCAGATTGGAACAACTCAAAGGCTTTAGGAGAAACATCTTCAAGATGACAACTTTGGTAGAATATCAAATGTGCTGGAATATAATGGAGATTTATACAATTGAGCAAGAGGCTATGCATATTAGCAATAAATGCATAAGGAAACCAAGCCATTAAAAAATACATTTGTTAATTTCAGAGAAAAAAAAGGTTTTTTAGAAAAGTAAAAGTAATCACAGTTTATAATAGCTCAGTGGATAATGGCATTCAGACAGTCACATTACTATGACACTGAATAACGATCTAAGCAAAATTACAATATAATTATATCTAGAGAGTAGAAACAGGATCAAAGGAGAAAGAGAGACTGTACAGATGGGGGAGAAGATTGGGTATTGTTGCATAGAGAATATAAGAGAACCCAATCTTCATGTTCCATAGTAAGAAGTCAATATAAAAGAACTCAAGGAGCAGCATTTAGGGATACTACTGTAAATACAAAAACAAAAGCCTAGAAGAGTTGAAAGTTGTTGCCACTGAGAAGTAGGAGTCAAAGAACCACTATTTGACAAAATAAGCGTTACCTGCTTAAATTATATGTAAATAAAACTGACAAACAGAAAAACTAGATTTCCAAAACCTATTGCAAAACTATGTACACTGAAATAAAGCAGTGAGCAATCAAGTCTTAGAATGTTTACAAAGTAATCTAAAATCAGTTTATCTAAAGAACTCATTTTAGAACAAAAACTACTGTACAGTTGCTCTAAATAAGGAAAGTACCGTCCTCTTTTAGTTTAACGCCTACTTTTGCAGACATTTTTCCAACATTGTTTGAAATCTCAAGAATTCAGTTATTTCAGCTACTCACCTAGATGCTGATTTCTGAGTAATATAGCAAATCTTGGTCAGCAAAAGTTCCAGCAGATATCCTCGGTGAGAGTCTCCCAACATATGTAACTCATCCACAACCACCATTCCTAAAAAGATTTTCCAGATACCAAGTTTTACAAAATTTCACAATTCCAAGAAGACTTTTAAGAGATTCAACATCTTATACCCTACAGTAAGCATTTACCATTATTTATTATAAGTGATGCAGATTTCAAACCATAAAACAAACAACAACAACAAAAAAAAAAATTCCACAAGATGGGCAATTCTTTTCTGGATGTATTCTAAAGCTAAAAACCAATGATTAGCTGACTTAGGTCTGTCCAAACCCAAGGAAAACTGCCTCTTGTTACTCACTTCCAAATTGGTAACCTTACAGGAATATATGTGCAATGATTTATCAAAGATTTCAGTTATATAGTGTGTCAGTTATATAGTGTGTCAACTTTTTTTAGGAGGAAACAACCATATTCACATTAGAAAGTTATGCCAAAAAAAAAACAGAATCAGGTCAAAAAGAAACAGATGATTTTAAGGAACTTTTTAAAATATGATAGACTACTGCAAAAGATAAATATGATCATAATGTCCTTCTCCCTACTTAGAGAATTGAACCAATCTATATACTTGAAATAATACTGAAAATTTAGTGTCATCCCATGCCTTCTTTGGTAAACATTTTTGTGACTTCAGTGTTTCACATGCACTGGTATCTCCCGCAATGGATCCCACCAAAATTAGGACCATTCAGACAACTTCCTAATGACATGGGATACTCTTTTTCCTTAGCAGTAAGGTACTCCAAAGTCCTGCTATTTGTTGAATTATTCCAGAATTTATTCATCATCCCAAAATGCTTATTTTACCTAGTATGCCAAGCATTGCACTAGACACATTGGAAATAACATTTAATAAGATTATTACAATCCTTAAGATATTTGACATCCAGTGGAGTCACAAGTAATAAAACAGTTAATACAAATTGTGACTCTCCTCGGACTATACCCAAAGGACTTAAAAACAGCATACTACAGGCACACAGCCACATCAATGTTTATAGCAGCACAATTCACAATAGCTAAATTGTGGAGCACACCTAGATGCCCTTCAATGGATGAACAGATTAAAAAAAAAAATGTGGCATATATACACAATAGAATTTTACTCAGCAATAAAAGAGAATAAAGTCATAGCATTTGCAAGTAAATGGATGGCATTTGAGAAGATAAATGCTAAGTGAAGTTAGCCAATCCCCAAAAAACAAATGCTGAATGTTTTCTCTGATATAAGGAGGCTGACTCATAGTGGGGTAGGGAGGGGGAGCATGGGAGGAATGGATAAATTCTAGATAGGGCAGAGGAGTGGGAGGGAAAGGGAGGGGGCAGGGGATTAGCAAGGATGGTAGAATGTGATGGACATCATTATCCAAAGTACATGTATGAAGACATGAATTGGTGTGAACATACTTATGTACAAACAAAGGTATGAAAAATAGTTCTATATGTGTAATAAGAATTGTGATGCATTCCGTTGTCATGAATTTAAAAAATAAAACCAATTTAAAAAAAGAAAATTCAACAGGGCAGAGCAAGTAGAAATAGGAAAAGGCCACACAAAAGTTTTGCAGAAGTCAAACTCTGTTTCTTTGTATTCAATGTGTATGCCATCTATTTTTTTATAGTGTTTGCTTTCTAGTAAAACATTTAATTATTGTGGTGAAAGTGGAATTTGTTTTGCTGTTTCAAAATAAAATTTTTTTTAAAAAAAAAGACAAATTGATTGTGATTTCTTTCTCAAAGGCTTTATAGAATAGAGTCCGTGTTTCATATTCTTTGATCCTGCCTCAACATTACCATGGTATTTTTGTATATTTTATTTATTAAATTGTGAAGGATTGCACTATTGTTATACATAAATACTTTTATGAGTGCATTATTATTATATATAATAGAGGGTTCATTCTGACATACTCAAAAATGCATATAACATGATTTGCTCCATTTCAATCCCCAGTACCTCCCCTTACTCTTCACTCCCCCACTACAATCCTCTTTCCTACTGTTCTTCCTTCTATTTTTTTTTAATTGGTACAATATAGTTGCACATAAAAGTGGAATTCATTGTGATATATTCATGCATACACAGCATAATTTGGTCAATGTCATTTCACAGTTCCTTCCCTTTCCCATCCTTCCTCCTCCCCCTTGAAACCCTTCCTTTACTGTCCTCCCTTTTATTTTCATGAGATCCCCTTTTTTAATTCACTATTTCTCTATAGCTTCTGCACATAAGAGAAAACATCTGACCATGATGTTTTCAAGTTCACCAGGTTCTCAATGAGTAGCTGAAATTCTTGCTGATTTTGCTACCACTAAAACCATTTTATTCTAGTGGCCACATCTTAAATGGCCTTTTAGTAGTTAAAAATAAATCTAAAAAATAAGGTAGAAAATTATCCCAGGGTCCCAAATTCAAATACAGTTTCTGTGGCTCCCTATTATTTCCCTTTTGAATGGTAGTCTCTGGGTCTAGACCTAATCAAGATATTATAGCATCAAAATATAATAATGGATACATAATACACGAATTGTGGAGAGGGCAGATCCAGCCTCAAATGTTTCTTTCTATTCCTGGTAAAGTTTAGACAAAAAAGAAGAAATGAGAAAAGACTGAGGCTCAAAGATACCCTCTCTGTTTTCGAAAGTACAAAAATGCAAGGTAGTGAGATCAATAATAGCAGGACACAAAACTTGTACTTTTTAATGCAGATTTCCTAATATTACAGATGCCAATTCTTGCCTCCAGAAGTAGATGACAGATAATGGAATAACAACATGGGACATATAGAAATCACAGTAGCTCCCCTTTATTTCATCAAAAATAGCAACAGAAAGTATGTTTAATTTTCTAATTTTTTTGCCTGGAATGGTAGTACATACCTGTAATTCCAGCAACTCAAGAGGCTGAGGTGGGAGGTTTACAAGTTCAAGGCCAGCCTGGGCAACTTAATGAGACCTTGTCTCAAAAAGTAAAAGGGTGGGGATATAGCTCAGTGGTAGAGCACTCCTGAGTTCAATTCCCAGTACTGCCCAAAAAAACATTTTTATATTTTCTTACCCAGTAGATCCATCTTATTCTCCTCTATGAGGCGATTGATAAGACCATTGGCTCTCTCAATTGTGCAGACAGCAATATCCAAGGAAGAGAAATGCCCTGTTGGAGAGGTACTGCCCATGTACCCATCTACTTTTATTCCTACTTCCTGAAACAGGCTCTGAATTGAGTAAAAAGAAACAATAAGGGTGGTAAAAGGTCAAAATATATCAGTTACAAACAGATTCCATTCCAGAAAATAGACATAAGTATTTAAAGATATTTATCAGATTACTCTCAGTTGCTCCTGGCCAGGACTTCCTGTTTTTATTTTGTTTTGTTTTACAATCATATACTAGAAATATTAAGTTTAGAAATGACAAAGCTTAGTGCAGGAATTCCTATTAAGACAGAGTCAAATAAAATTAAGTACATCATTTTATGATAGTATTTAATAACCTACAAAGTTCTAAGAGGTATTTATAAAAATTGGAGAAAATTTACCTTAAACACTAACATTTTTAATTTAATAAACTAGCTAATTTTAACACTAATTTAACATTTTAAGGAATTCGTTATTTCTCTCTAGCTTCTGCACATGAGAGAAAACATCTGACCATGATGTTTTCAAGTTCACTAGGTTCTCAATGAGTAGCTGAAATTCTTGCTGATTTTTCTACTACTATAACCATTTTATTCTAGTAGCCACATCTTAAATGGCCTTTTAGTAGTTAAAAATAAATTTTAAAAATAAGGTAGAAAATTATCCCAGGGTCCCAAACTCAAATACAGTTTCTGTGGCTCCCTATTATTTCCCTGTTGAATGGTAGTCTCTGGGTCTAGGCCTAATCAAGATATCATAGCATCAAAATATAATAATGGATACATATTTACACAAATTGTAGAGAAGGCAGATCCAGCCTCAAATGCTTCTTTCTAATCCTGGTAAAGTCTTTTTATTCTACTAAATATAGTCTTATTATTCTACTAAAGACCAACAATGGAAGAAAAGTCTTTAAAAGTTTAATTCTGTGGGACTTTAATATTAATTTTTTTTTAGTTTAACTTTTTTTTTTGAGAGAAAGAGAATTTTTTAATACTTACTTTTTTAGTTTTCGTGGACACAACATCTTTATTTTTATTTTTATGTGGTGCTGAGGATCCAACCCAGCACCCCGCGCATGCCAGGCAAGCGTGCTACCGCTTGAGCCACATCCCCAGCCCCAAGTTTAACTTTTAACTAACATACCTTCTCAATAAAAAGGATCCTTCATCATTTAGTTATTTTGGGTCTAAGTTGAGAGGTTGTTACCATGTAGGACCAGCTTTGTTGGCTATTTGGCCTCTGAAATAACTGTTAAAAAGATTTATAGAACCATAGAACTTTAAAGCTGTTCGTTCAGTAAATTTCCTCTGAGCATTTATTGAGTTAACCAATAGTGCAAAGGGTTAACATCCTCATTTTAAAAACAAAAACACTGAGACCCAGCAGAGTGTGTGTCTGAACTGAAGACACAGTAGTAAAACTGGGACTAAAACTCAGATTTTTTGGCCTAACAGTACAAAGATCTTTTCATTCCAATAATACTTTTTTTTTCAATGCAAACCACAACAGTAAGTTTAATCTATTTTATGAAACACTGTATTTGTGAAAATGCCTTAAAAACTGTTAGTATCATATCAAATATAAACTACTATTCATGTTTTAAGAACAGAGGAACAGGTCACAGACCTGAAGCTTTACCTGAGCTCCAATGATCTTGTTATTCAGCCCCTAAATGTTCCTAGTGACCCTCAAACAGGATAAGATATGCTTCCTTAAACACACTCCTTTCTACACTTCAGTCTAGTCCTACCATTTAGTTTTAACCCTGATTCTTAATTTGCATGGTTATAGGCCAATTGAAGTATTCTGTTTCCTTCCTAAGAAAAGTTTACAAATTTTTACATAATGGCTCTTTCTTTCTTATGCAATAATACTTTTTTTTAAGGTTTCCCTCCATTAACTTTCAATGCTTTAATGGTCAACATTTAAATCTAGATGAGTGCAACAAGAGATTTTTCATTTGCTTATATAATTCAATTTCAAATCAATAAGCCAAGGTTGCCAATAATGGGCCTTCACTATTTCAAACTTAGTACAAGAACATTACCTGGAGATAGTACTTCTTCTCTTTAGCCACAGAAACAAAGGGAAGAATAAACAAAGCTTTCTTTCGCATTTCCAAAACCCGATTCAAAATAAGCAATTCTGCAACAAGAGTCTTCCCCGCACTTGTAGGAGCTAAAACATGATTATTCCACAAAGTTATAACAAAAAACAAGTAACATCTGGTACATCACTTGAATGTTTTAAGCCATATCTAATACTACAGAGCCTAAGATGACCGTATCAGGAAAGTCTCAACTAGCACTTGAAATCCTTATACCCTGAAAATCCCTAACTTTAAGCCAACTTTCTAAATAGTCTCACACTAAAACCAGAGAGTAAAAAAGCTTCATATCAGCAATGAATGATGAACATTAGCAAGTACCTAGTTATACCTAAAGATTCTTCTCTTTAAATACTGAATGGCTAAAAGACCTGCTTGAGGAAGAAGATGAATACTTGTAACCTCTGATAGGAGCCAGAAGTTGAGGGAGAGGAGCTGCAAGGAAGCTTAAGGAAAGGAAACAGAACTTATGAGAAGGAAAGAGGAAAGGAATGGCAAGCATGAGAAACAGCATGTGCAAAGGCCTGAAGAAAGCCTGGCATGTTCAAGAGACAAGGAGCGATTTAGTAAGCCTGGAATATGAAGTGATCCAGGGGAGCAAAAAAATAAAGAGACATGACAGAGAGTTTTATAATTCCAGAGTTTAAAGAGGTTAGACTATCCTAAAAGTAATGCAGAATGACAGATGAGTAAGGGAGTGACAAGATCATATTTGTATTTTATAAAGCTCTCTTTGGGTTGAAAGAGTGGGGCAAGAACAGAGGAAAAGGTCAAGCTCATTAGAAGATTATTCCATTATCTAAAAAAAAGACAAGGAGCTGAACCAGGCAATGGAGTTAAGAACAGAAAGAAGTAGTCAAAAGTAGTCAGAATCAAGAGATATTTAAGGTAAAAGACGCAGGGCTTTACACATTAATGAATGATACCCAAGTTTTGGTTAAAGCAACTGAAGTGGCTAGGTTATTCTTCCACTAGTCAGCATTTAGAAGTACTTCCTATGTGCCAAAAACTATTTTATACTCTTACACATGTGAAATAACTTAACACTTCCTAAATACTACCAAGTATCTTCCCTCACCCCACCTCTAAGCAGTTTGCAAGATTATACAGCCAGTGAGTGATAACAGTTTTTAAAGCCACCCCAGTCCAACTCCTCAGCCTGAACTTATATCTTCTAATAAATTAATTATATTATTCTGTTTTGTAGCCATAATGAAAAATCTGGGAGATTCACAATTTCAGAGAAAACTGACACAAGGAATTGTGTCTTACCAAATGATTAATTTCTAAAATCAGAGTGGTAATAAGCACAGGTTAAAAATTGCAAAAGTCAAAGTTGCCCTTGAAAACCCATGTATATCTTCTACAAAACATATTACATGTACTTTTGTCCATATAACTCTATACAAAAAAGTCAATACACAAACATATAATGTATAATGCTCACACTCTGAAAAGCAACTGAGATCAAAGGAGGGAAGCAGATTTACATCTCCCATCTTAAAAATAGTAGAGAAATTAATGTGCATAAATCTGAATACCTGAATAAACTAAATTCTTTCCTTCCAAGACTTGTCCAAGCAAAAGGCACTCTGCCTGCCACTCAAACATTTTTTTTACACCAAAACTGTGATATTTCTCCAGAACTGCTTTAGGAAGTCCCCAATTTGCCAATAGCAGCTTGTCTACTTGGTCATCCAGATCTGTTTGCTTGCATACCCCTTTCAGGAAAAAAATAAACAATTAATATTTTAATTTAGTTCTAACATATAACCTTAGCAATTAGTCCTCCACTGTGTGTTGGAATGAAAACACATCCTGACTTCAAGAAGTTTATGAGAAATTGACCATGTTCAGAAAGGTAAGAGAAAACTGTTATTTGTATTTACTGGCTATAATATTTTTTTTTCTTAAAAGCTCTGAACAAAAAAAATTGTGTTAGGCACAATGGATAAGGCGTTTGGAATAGTGGTGCTCCTCACCGGAGATATGTAATCATTACAAAGCTAAGTTGAAGAAGTTTCTATTAAGTTTTAGTGTTATAACCACTGCCCAAAAACAATGAAGAATTGGGTTAATGTTCAACTGGCACCCAACCCAATCTGAGAAAACTCTACAAATCCCTTCCAGCCTTCCCCTGGGCTCCAAACTGCCAGCGCCATACCCCCGACCGACAAGATGGTATAAGGATCTGCAAGGAGAAATTAGCACTCTAGGAGCAAACCCTCCCTCAGGTGAAGGGGTTTAAACGGCCAACCAGGAGGCTGTTTCTGCAAAGATCTAAAAACCCTGAAGTCACTTGAACTTGAGTACCGCGCGGTCAGTGAGAGCATGCCTATGTCTGAACAGAAAGTGACCACAGCACCAGGCCCGAGTCACAAACGGAGGAGTGCGGAATTCCAGTGATTGTGCCAACAAGCAAGCTCCACGCAGCGAGGACATCGTCCGGCATGTGATCTGGCGAAACTAGCCACGTGTCCCGTGGCCCCCAGGGTGCACAAGAGTACCTGCACCTGCGGCCTTCAGGCTGCGTCCCAAGCCCGGGGGTGGACTCAGCACCGGCCCAGACAGGAGCTGGGGGCTGAAACCGCTGTCGCCGCCGCTTCCCGAGAATGAATCTGAATCTGATCGCCGCCGTTTTCCACTCCGATGAAGGAGATTCATTGCAGAGTCTCCTCGGTTGCTCAGGACAAGGCATCCTCCCAGCGCCCTACCGTAGGGGAGAACTCCGGCCTGATGACAGATATAACTATCATCTTCCCGCCACCGTCTTCAAACTCAGACCTCCCAACCCATCCCGGAACCATAGAGTTTTCGGTGGAGAGAGTAATCCTAAAACCATAGAGTCAAGGGGGAAGGAGCGGCTTGCGTTGTAATCAGAGACTTCCGGCTTCCAGCCTCTTTCGTAATCAATGTGACAGAATCAGGGTGGAAGTAAAAGTAAAGGAGGATAACACCAGAATCTACATGTATAATGTAGTCAGACTGGCCTAAAAATATCGTTCTCTTTTCCATTTTTAGTTTGAATAAAAAGGGCTATGCTAACTTCATAAAATGAGTTGCCCGAAACAGGTTAGGGAAGTAGCTCTTAACATATTGGTCCTCTTTTGAACATTACACAAAGCATTATTCAAGAAAACCTAGGATTTCTAATAGAACATAATTTGCGCTTTCTTCCTATGCATGTGAGGAGGACAGGGACTAAGTCTGTACACAATTTCTATTTTAGCCATCATACAGTGAGGAATATGGGATCCGGAATTGGGGATTGCTGGACTGCAGACCCCTTTGATAGCCGTGTGAACGCTGCAAGGATGGGGCGGTAAATGTACTTGAGGGACCTTTCTGAGCCAAGAGCCTATTAAGGAATCTGTGCTCTGTTCTATAACAAGGTGGAAGCAAATAGGTTCTGAACGTGAAGTGATGCCTGCTAATTACCTAGTTGCATAGTTCACTTCACCAAGCAAACCTAGTAGATCACAGTCCTGCTCTAAAAAGCCTGGGCTCTTCCAGAGTACTAAAAAACCTCAAAAGGGCTAGTCCAATTAAGAAGAAGAAAAAAGACTCTAATATGTTTGAGAAATAGCACACCAGACCTTCAGTTATCATAGGAAAACCTACCTTGTTTTTTAAAAAATTGCAATATACAAAAATTCCGCAAGGTGGAAACATTACTCCATGAAAGAACCGCTTTAGTCCTGCCTTCATTTCACCCAACTATTTATTAATGAGCATCATCTACTATTGAAGTAGGGACAGCCAAGGCAAGGCACTGAACATAGCAGGAAACAGTTTTATTTGGCTGCAGCCAGGTTCAGAGGGCACAGCTGTTGCTGTGATCAATCAATCCCCTGAACCCCGAGTTCAGGTAGTTTTAGAATTTTATACCCAGCATGTAAGGGGAGGGGCTCAGAAGTTCACGGTCTGCAGAAGTTCACATAAAAACAGTTTTTTTCTTTCACTCTTCTGGGCAAGTTAACCACTCAAGGACAACACCGGAGAAGGGGAGAGCTTCTTCTCCCCTTTCTTTCCTCCCCCTGCCATTTGTTACCATGGAGCCCAATTGGTAACTTCTCTTAACTTAGAAATGTAGACATCTCTGTGAAGCCCCAGCTCAAGGCCAGAGGCCTTGTTTGCTCATTTCTACAAACTACTATACTGGATACCTGTTTGTGAAAAACTAATAAGGGGGTGTCCAGCACCTGTAGTGCTGGTATCTTCCTGGCCAGTGGCCAAGTAAAACAGGGCAACACAAAAATAGGAAGTTTATCTACATTGAACTCTTGCAGAGACTCTTTTGCTGACAGTCCTAAAATCAGCCATGGTGAAGATTTCTGGAGAAGCCCAGTTAAGCCTTTTCTGTGGAGCAAGGGGGTGCCACTTCACTGTATGCTAGGCACTGGGTATGTGGCAGTGAACTGGTGTGAAATGCTTTCCGCTCTCAGAATGAAAGAGTAAAGAAGGAGACAGACAATGAACAAATAAATTAATAATTTTAGATTGTGACGTGTTCAGGGAGAAATAAAGTGCTATCGAAGAAATAAAAATTTCTTTGATAATGAGTGCTGTTTGAAATGAATGCTATAGAAGAAAAAAAATTCTTCGATAAAAATATCAAAGGAATCCTAACATACATTATAGTTGTGATAGAGATTAGCAGTGCAGCTCAGGAGCCAGTCAGTCTAGGGTTTAAAGACTTAACTGTGTGATTTGGGACAACTTTCTTAGCCCCTTTATGCCTGCTTTCTGGTCTATATGATGGGAGTAGTTATAATAACAACCTGTTTGGTTCTTGTGAGGACTGAATGTGTCACTGTATGTAAAGTGCTTAGAACAGGGATGGCATATAGTAAGTCCTATTCAGAGAAAATGATACTTAAGTGTTCTAATATAGTTTTCAATATATATAGCTGGGAAGATGGGAAAAGTAGAGGGTTACCTTTAATTTTCATCCTTTCCTTTTCCTTTGTCTGTGTGGACTTTCACCTCTTAGAAAGTTTGCATGAATAATCAAGTGATTTTTCCATTGAAATTTCAGAGGTTATATGGAAAAATAAAAATTCACATAAACTATATTTATGAATTGACTAAAACAATTATTTATCAACTTTGAATAAATGGCTTATATGAGTGGCACTGATTCACAAAGGGTAAAAAAAGAAAGCTAGAAAATAAATGCAGTGGGAGTGGTGCTGGTTAGTCTTATGTGCTCAGGATAAAGGAGATGCTCGTTAAGAGGATTTTGTGTTTAAAGTCCAGTGTTTCTCAACTGAAAGAGGTCCAGTGGCTAAATATTAGGATCCCCTAAAGAGCTTTTAAAATATTCTACTCCTAACGATTCTGGCTTAATTAGTCTGGGTTAAAGCCCGGGTGCTAGTATGTCTTAAAAACTCCCCAGGTTTTCTAACATGCTTCTGGAATTGAGAACCACTGGTATAGCCCAGGGATAAGGCTGACTTGAATTCAGGTAACCTCAGTGAAAAAGTTTTCATCAATGGCTTAAATCTACAGGGGACCCTGAAGAAAGACCCAATTCTCCACAATGACACAAAGAAGTAGAAATAGTTTACAGATGCTCCTTGACTTATGACTGGGAGGGGGTGTTCTGATAAACCCATTTTAAGTTGAAAATAAGTCAAAAACACATCTAATGCACCTAATCTACCCACCATCATAGCTCAGCGACACAGCACACTATAGGACATTAATTGCTTCTGCCTGGTGACTGCATCACTGACTGGAAGCCAAAGCTCACTAAAGCTGTCCAGCATCACATTGCAAAAGAGTATCTTACCAAATATTGCAGGCCCCAGATAAGATCAAAATTCAAAAGTTGAAATGTGGCCTTTATTGATGCATGTTACTTTCGTGCTGTTACAAAACAAAACAAAAAAAAAAGGCAAATTGGGCCATATGTAACTGTTTTGAGAATTTTCTCTGTATTCATGGAGAGCCATAACATGAAGAGTGTTAGATTTTTTGTTCCAATTATCAATGTAGAAAACCTTTAGAAAAAGATGAGTAGGGAAGTCTACTGTATTTACTCATATTTTGTCTTTCTATGGTCTGTCTTCTTGCTTAATGGTCCAAGATTTTCTTTCAATGATTCCTTTCTGTTTAGTGAATTCCAGTTAGCCTTTGGTTTTTTAGTTGTTGTTTGTTTTTTGTTGTTGTTTTAGGTTAGATCTCCTATATTATGACCATGAGCCAAAGAAACTTCTATTTATTTAAATATTTAAATGATCGGGTCTATAGGGGTTTTTTCTGCTTTTCTCTTCTTTCTTCCTTCCTTCCTTTCTTTCTTTCCGTATTTATTTTGTCACTGGAGATAAAACCCAGGGGTGCTCTACCACTGAACTACATCCTCAGCCCTTTTATTTTTGTTCTGAGACAGGGTCTCACCAAGTTTCCCAGTGTGACCTCTAACTTGCGATCCTCCAGCCTTAGTCCCCTGAGTAGATGGGATTACAGACATGCACCACCATGCCTGGCTGAGGTATTTTGTTATAATAAGGTACTGACACCCTCTTTCTATATTCTTGGGAGAATTCAAGGAACCAATCTTGAAAGAGTGATATGAAAAGTCATTTTATTCACCTTTTAATGCTTGACATGTCAATCGCAAACTCTGGAGGAATGGAGTGTATATTGATGGTTGTGGATGAGCCAGAGCAGGAGCAGCCAAGAAAGTGCAGGAAGCCCAGTGACAAGCTGTTAGGTCTGTAGTAATCCAGGACAGAGAAGCTGGCTTGAATCAGGATGTTTGCTTTTAGCTTAGTTTATGGTACTTGATAAGCTTTGGTTTTGAGGTTCTGTGTTAATACATCAATATTTCTGATCATGCTTTTATAACTTTTGTATTTTTGTGAAAGATAAAAAGGAAGAGATTAATAAGAGTTCAATGAAGCTATTTTGAAAAAAAAATCTTCTAGAGAAAAACTGAGAAAGATTAAGGGATTTGACAAAATTGAGATATCAAAAGAAAAATTCAAAAAGAAACAGAAATTCCAAGAAAAAGAGGGAGCAAGTGTGTGACAGAAAAGAAATCGTATAAGCACAATGAGTAAAAGAGGCCATTAAAAAGAGATAAGACTAACCTAAGTCAACAGAGATAGATGTATATTTTGATAAAAATGTTAAGAATCAGAGATTTGAGAGACTGAGACATTATCTAAGATGGGGAGGGCGGGTGCAGAGAGAAAGATTGAGGGGTTTGGCATGAGTGAGAGAGAGAGATTGAGGGGTTTGGCATGGAGCTTGGTGGTAGAGTGCTTGCCTCACATGGGAGATGCCATAGGTTCCACCCTAGCACCAAAAATAAAGAAAAGAGAGACATTGAGAATATAGTGGGTCACTCACTATGAGAGCGATAAATTTAAAATATGAGTTTTGAAAGAGCTTCAGAGAGAGGAAGGGAGATAAAGGACAAATAGAGAAGAGAAGGAAAGAGGATGGAGAAGACAGGTAAAGAGGAATATAACAGGTTGACAGATGAAACAGAAGTTAATGGGCACAGAAAACAAGAGACACTAAAAAAGAGAGGGAGAAACTGAGAGGAAATGGAGATTTTAAGAGAGATGTTGAAATATAGTGTGAGATTTCTCTGTACTGTGTTTACTCTGGAATGCCTGACAACCATCATCCCTTTTCCTGGATTGAGTCTTTAATGCCTATATCTTTTCTTTAATATTATCCATAGCTTCACATTCTGCTTTTCTTTGAGTTCATTTCTCACTCTTGGCACATGGTGAATCTCCTCCTCCTCCTTCTTCTTCT